GCATTAGTTTCCAGGGCTTCCATCACAGAATACTGCAGACTGAGTGGCTTAAGCAATGGAATTGCATCTCTCACGGTTCTGGAGGTTAGAAGTCCAAGATTAACGCCGGGACACCTGCACCCCGATGTTTCTAGCAGCTATGTCCACAATAGCCAAACTGTGGAAGGAGCCTCGGTGTCCATAGAAAGATGATGGATAAAGAAGATGTGGTTTGTGTATACAATGGAATATTCCTCAGCCATTAGAAACGACAAATACCCACCATTTGCTTCGACGTGGATGGAACTGGAGGGTATGATGCTGAGTGAAGTAAGTCAGTCGGAGAAGGACAAACAGTGTATGTTCTCATTCATTTGGGGAATATGAACAATAGTGAAAGGGAATAGAAGGGAAGGGAGAAGAAATGTGTGGGAAATATCAGAAAGGGAGACAGAACATGAAGACTCCTAACTCTGGGAAACGAACTAGGGGTGGTGGAGGGGGAGGAGGGCGGGGGGTGGGGGTGAATGGGTGACGGGCACTGAGGGGGACACTTGACGGGATGAGCACTGGGTGTTATTCTGTATGTTGGTAAATTGAACACCAATAAAAATTAATTTATAAAAAAAAAAAAAAAGAAGTCCAAGATTAAGGTGTCAGCAGGTCTGGTTTCTTCCGAGGCCTCTCTCCCTGGCTTGCAGACCACTGCCTTCTTGCTATGTCCTCACACCGTCTGTCTTCCTCTGTGCTTGGTGCCCCCCGGTATCTCTTTGTGGGTCCAAATTTCCTCTTCTTATGAGGACATCAGTCAAATTGGATCAGGGCCCACCCTAGAGCTTCATTTTAACTTAATGACCTCTTTATAGGCTTCTCCAAATACAGTCACCATAGGTACGGCGGGGGCGGGGTGGGGGGCAGAGTTTTAACACATTAGAGGGAGGCACAGCTCAGCCCATAACAAACACCAGGACGCATCCATTTTTCAAGTTCTGGGCTTTCTGCAAGAAAAAAGTTAATTAAAAAAAAAGTTAATTAAAAAAGTTAAAAGATTTTTTTTTAAGTTGGTTTCAGAATAGACATAAAATACATGTCTCAGGTAGCGTTGCCGAAACGTAACCAACAAAAATAAAGCACATCGATTGCAATTGGAGGCAGCTGTGGCTGACGCTGTGGGCCCCGGGCCGGAGGCGACCGAATGCCGACAGCGGTGGACGAGCAGGTGTGGACGCACCGGCCAAGCCCACAGGTCTGTTCCCAGACCCTCAGGCAATACGTGGGCCTGGCTGCCGTCTACAGCCCCCACCTCCCAGAAGGAGGCCGACAGCCCACGAGAAACTCGGTGTAAACTGAACTAGCTGCGTTCACCCCGAGTTTATCCATAATTTTTTTCCGACTTAACTGATGGGAAATCAAGATTTCCCATCATATGCTGCTAAAGTAGATTATTTGAACCTGACCCTGAAACTCGACATTTGTCCTAATTAATTAAATTTCAATCCACTGCTACATCCTTAAAGATCTTCCTGAATCATAAATCTGCCATTTAGTATTTGAGCTCTCTCTGCAGGAGCAGCTCATTTCATACTTTAAACATTTAGATATTTATTGAGATACCTTCATGAGAAGTTTCCTATCAAAGAACTTCATCCCACCACATTCTCTCCCTTCACCATCAAAAATAAACACACTCAGGACGCCTGGGTGGCTCAGCGGTTGAGCCTCTTTGTTGGGATCCAGTCCTGCATCGGGCTCCCCACAGGGAGCCTGCTTCTCCCTCTGCCTGGGTCTCTGCCTCTCTCTGTCTCTGTCTGTCATGAATAAATAAATAAAATCTTTAAAAAAAATAAAAAATAAAAAAATAAACACACACAAAAATAAATATATACACAGGAAAAAAACACAGTAAAATTTCTAAGTAGGTGTCTCTTCCTGTGGCAAGAACAGAAGGGGAGAGTAGAAAAATCACTTTTTTAAATTAAGAAACTTAAGGGATTTAAAATTCCTAAAGAAATCAAATAAAAATCTTCCTCATGCAGATCTACCGCCATCTTACGGCCACCGCCCAGTATTACAAATCAGCTTTTGGTTCTATTTAGCTAAATGACTAATATTTAAGGGCTACCGAGTTTAATGTTTAGGCATTTATGTATTTTATCTTTTTCAAGTTACTAAATAAACTCTGTTTTCCCTTAAGCAAATTAAAGGAAAGATGTGGAGAGCAGATCATATAAAAAGTTAACATTACAATGTTTACTTTGGGGTATTTAGAAAAACACATTTTTTAAAAAATGTTTTCTGGGGAGGGGGGAGAGAATCTTAAGCAGGCCCCATGCTCAGGGCCAAGCCCGACGAGGCCTTGATCTCATGACCCCTGAGATCATGATCTGAGCTGAAATTGTGAGTTGGAAGCTTTTATTTTTAAGATTTTATTTATCAGAGAGAGCAAGTGAGCACCAGCTGGCGGAAGGGGTAAAGCGAGAAGCAGGCTCCTCGCTGAGTACGGGCCCCGACGCGGGGCTCGACCCCAGGACCCCGGGATCATGACCTGAGCCGAAGGCAGATGCTTAACCGACTGAGCCACCCGGGTGCCCCAGAAAAACACATTTTAAACTAACGAAAGAATAAACAAACAGACCTCCCCCCGCCATTTAGGGATCTCTCAAATACAAACACAATCTGCCACATTTGACCCGACGACATCAGTCAGGGGCAAATCTCCTACCGACTGTACTAGTTGCTGAGACTCCTTAAGAGACCACCACGGACGCAGGGGCTGAGGTCCAGCATCAAGGTGCCAGCTGGGAAGGTTTCGGGTGAAACCCTTCTTTTTTTTTAATTGCATGTGCATATCCGGTGTCATTTCCTCTTTTTGTACGGACACCCTCATGTTAAATGAGGGCTCTACTCTGCTGACCTCATTTAACCAACCTCAAAGTCCCTATCTCTAAATATAGTCATATCGGGGCTTAGGGCTTTAGGGTATGAATGGTGGGGGGGAGGGGAGCCCTGCGACTCGGCCTGCGACACTGACATATTTACTGTATCACTCCAAGAACAGAAGTCAAGTGGCCGAGGAACACTGAACTCTTGGTTGATAACAGAACAGCTGTGGTACTTTATCAGCACACGTACAAAATTTTATCAGTACAGTATGAAAAATTCAACTTTTGCTTAATGTACAGGAAAAAAAGGAAATATTTTTAGTTGAAAATAAGCCTATGAAACAATAAAAGCCCTATTTTTAGTTGAAAATAAGCCCTATGAAACAAAATACAAGACATTTGTATTTAAGTGCAGGGTCAGGAAAGGAGTTGGGGAGGGAAAGGGGACCGTGGCACATGCTCTTAAAAGGACTCAGAATGAGGCTTGAGGTATAGGCCAGGAAAAGCGGATACAGCTCCAGGAGGGCTAAGAGCTCTCAGGATGCCTGGAGCGCACGGTTGGCTCAATTCTGGCCCAGAATGTGCACGTCTAGACTCCCTAGCACAGAGCTCTGGGACTGGACGTGAGGAGCGCAAGAAATGTAACCGCGGTCACGCCACAAGGAGAAATGTCTGTCAATGAGCCTGTCCCGGGGGAAGGGCCAAGTGCAGTCCCAGGGACACCCACATGATGAAAACCAATCCTTCTGTACTTTCCCCTCCGGCGACCGACGGATGCACCTGTTACTAAGGTTACAGGTTACTAAGGTGAGTCCCTAAAGAGCCTATTCGCCCGGTCAAACCAGATGCCCTTCAGGGAAACCTGTGGCCTCTACCTGGTGGTATGACCTTGGCAGGAATAGTCTGGGGGTCGAAGAAGAACACTAAGGTCCATGCTCCATGGACGAGACAGTCGTAAGAGGGGAATAGGGACAAGCTGTGAATCAATCCAGGTTCTTCTCTTTTGTTTTGTTTTGTTTTTTTTTAAGATTTTATTTATTTATTTGTGAAAGACCCAGACAGACAGAGAGAGGCAGAGACACAGGCAGAGGGAGAGGTTTTTCTCTTTTGATTCACAGACGTTAGGAGCTCGGTTGTTGGACTCTTATCAGTGAACAGCTCAATCTTCTTGCGGATTGTTTCCTCTTCCTGCTCCAGAGAGATCTGTTTGGGGCGTTTAAGAGTTAGAATGGAACAACTATACATTTTATTCAAATGGGTCCACTAGGTACAATAAGTGTCCTACCAAATTGAACTATTTATTGCACTAAATCAATCCCTTGATTGGCCTATTGGTCTCATAAGGATCCGTATTTCTGAGGGTTAAAAGTCATTCCCAATGAATTATATGTTCATTATGTCCTAACTATTGACATTTTCCCCCACTGGACAGTGTTCCTTCAGATTTAACCCAGAAATAGTACAAAGATAATAGACTTGCATTTTCTTTTTTTTTTTTTTTTAAAGATACTGTGTTTTCTCTTTTGAATAATTTTAAGGATCTCAAAGTCCTGGCCTTTCTTTCACATGGGTTCTCAAAATCAAATGGTTTAAGCATCCATCGTGACTTTCATCCTATGGGCCTAAATGGCACCCCGGAGACCAGGGGCCCGGGTGGCTTGGGGGCAGGGTCGGCGGGTGGGCCCGGGAGAGGGGCGCGGGGCTCGGCGGCCTGCGGGGCACGGGGGTGGGGGGGGCCGGGGGCGGGGGCGGGGGGAAGGGGCGGGGAGAACGTGCCCGGGTGGCCGCGGCCCCGCCCCCCGCCTCTGGCCACGCCCCGCTCCCTGGCCCCGCCCCCTCCCGCCGAGCTCCGCCCCGCCCCTCCGCCGGCGCCCAGTCCATGTCCACGCCCCGCTCCCTGGCTCCGCCCCTCCAAGGCTCCGCCCCGCCCCTCCGCGGGCGCCCAGTCCATGTCCACGCCCCGCTCCCTGGCCCCGCCCCCTCCCGCCAAGCTCCGCCCCGCCCCTCCGCGGGCGCCCAGTCCATGTCCACGCCCCGCTCCCTGGCCACGCCCTTCCGCCGAGCTCCGCCCCGCCCCGGCCCCGCCCCGGCCCCGGCCCGGCCCCGCCCCTCCCCTCCGCGGCGCCCCGCCCCCTCCCGCCCGCTCCCGCCCGCGCCCGCCGGGCTCGCCGCGCAGCCATGGCTCAGCACTTCTCGCTGGCCGCCTGCGACGCGGTGGGCTTCGACCTGGACCACACTCTGTGTCGCTACAACCTGCCCGAGAGCGCCCCGGTGAGTGGCGCGGGGCAGCTGGGTCCGCGGGGCCTCCCGCCGCCCCGCCTCTGCGCGGAGCCCGCCTCCCCCGCGGCCGCGCGGAAGTGAGCATCCCCGGCCCTGCGCGGTCGGCGGGGGGGGGGGGGGGGGGGGGGGAGGGGAGGGGGGGGGAGGGAGGGGGAGGGGAGGGGAGGGGGAGGGGGGCCCCTGGGGGAGCCGGCCGCAGGGGGCAGGGCCGGGCCGCAGGGGCAGGCTGCAGGGCGGCGGGCGGCGGGGTGCGCGCATCAGCTCGCAGCGCCCCCCTCCCCGGGCCCCGGCCGCGCCCCTGCTGTGCGCCCCCTCCGCGTCCCCGCGACCACCTGTCGGGGGCCGAGCCCTGCGGGGGGTCGGGGGCCGGGACCCCCGCGCCAAGCCCTGGCCTCTGGGCTCCAGCGCCGCCCGCCGCGGGGACCAGGTGAGCGCGCGCGTCCTGCGCCCGGGCCAGGTCCCCACAGGTCCCCACCGGTCCCCACCCCAGGGCCTCGGAGGACGGAGGGGGACAGAGGTGTGATTCCGCACCCGCCGGTGGATGGGCCTTCCTCCCCAGCCTTCTGGTTTCATTAGAAAACTGATTGTAAAGGAATTCGCAGGATTTTAGTCAAATATCTAAGCATCTCGGCCGAAAACCAGCTGCCCAGGAGCCGGCGGCCAGGGCCAGGGCGGGACCGCACCCGCACCCACAGGCACCGCCCTGGGGCCTCCATTACCCGCTCTGTGACCTTGGGCCACTTACTTAACTTCTTCACAATTCTCAGTTTCCCCATTTATAAAATGACACAAGGAACTGGATTTACGGCAACAGGCTGCGAGAATGACCTGGGCAGTAGAGCCGTAGGGCTTAGAGGGCTTAGAGCAGTGCCTGCCCGTCCGGGGGCTCCTCTGGGCACCTCCAGACCACTCCTAGGCCTCACGGTGGGAGGTGAGAGCTCCAGGCCCCAGGCACAGCCGTGACCGGTGCTGCTGCCCATCACGGGGAGGCCAGCGTCCCAGCCAGCACTTCAGGGACCCAAAGGTGGTCAAACGAACGAAAAGCCACAGACCCTGTGAAGCCGCTGATGCCCCGTCGGCCCTGGGCTTCGGGGTCCAGACAGCCTCACGGGACCCCCGCTGTCCTGGAGGCCCGGGTGGCCAGGCTGGGGCCTGTGGGTGCATCATGTCGCGCGGCATGAGCCATTAACGAGTGACCCAGGTCGGGTCAGCAGCATCGCCCGGGCCCACACGGCCGCGGGTTTTATTAGCTCTCAGACAACGGCCCTGCTGGCCACGGGGCTTTGGGTCCCTCTGCACCGGGACCTGAGGCGCACCCCCCCAGTCGGGGCATGTGTGGGCCCCCAGGGGTCTGGACTGGTGGCTCCCCTCCCTCTGGAGGGGTCAGGGGGACATGATGAGCCCACTCCCTTCACGGCGTCTCCACCATCTTCGCCCTTGTGCCATCTCACGCCCCAAAGCCTGTCACGGGCTCGCTTAGACCAGGGTGAGTTGCTCACGAATCCTCTTGGACGCCGCCCAGCCTGGGCCCAGCCAGATTCAAGGGCAGATGAGGTGGCCTGGGGACCCTCGTCGGACGGGTACGGGGTGTGGCCGGGATGAACCTTTTGCCTGGTTTTGCTTGGTGTATGCAGTTCTCTAAAAATTTGAGGGCAGCTCTTTACAGACCCCCCGCCACCATCCCCACCATCCCCACCCCCGTCAGTGACAAAACCGAAACAACCAAGGAACAGGTTTGTGTCCTTTATCCAGGAGGGGAATAGTCTGTGAACCGGGGAAGCACCATGCACTGAGGGTGGGCACAGGAGAGCCGTCGTGATAGGGCGCTGGGTGGGTTTAGCATGGGGTGGGGGGGTAGATACGTTTACAAAGCCTCGTCAAGTCTTGATCTCCAATCCTAAGAATTCAAGAGCAAGAATGATAATCAATCTCGGTTGTTTAACTGGATGTGGATGGTGTGATTCTGCGGCATCGAGACCGCAGCTGCCTGGGGCTCTCGGGGGCAGGTAAGTTGTAAAGGGGGGTCAACCTGCAGAACTTCACAATTATATAGATATTTCTCCCCCGTCTGCCCCATGAGTGACTCCAGTAGGTTTTCAGGTCTATGAAATTAGGAATGAATAGTGTATTTTATATTTAATCTTTATTTCTTCGCTCTTATTTGTAGCTCATTTACAACAGCTTTGCTCAGTTCCTGGTCAAAGAGAAAGGATATGACAAGGAGTTGCTAACTGTGACTCCCGAGGATTGGGATTTCTGGTAAGTTCTTTTTTTTTTTTTTAAGGTCTTCCTATTCTCTCTGGTTCTAAAACGCTGCTGATAAAATTTTAATGCCTCATCTCCTATAGAGATATAAAAGTGAAATGTGAAACTGAGTCAAAGGACAAAATGCCTTCTATATTGAAAGTTTCATGTTTCATGATGTGGAAGGTTCTCGGGAAGTTAAAAATAAAGCTGCACTATGACCCAGAAAGTGCCCTGCTGGGGATTTACCCCAAAGATGCAGATGCAGTGAGACACCGGGACACCTGCACCCCGAGGTTTATAGCAGCAACGTCCACAGTAGCCACACTGTGGGGGGAGCCTGGGTGCCCTGGGACAGATGATGGGTACAGAAGCTGTGGTCCTATAGATACAAAGGGACATGACTCAGCCCTCAGGAAGGACAAGTACCCACCATGGGCTTCGACGTGGGTGGAACTGGGAGGGGATAATGCTGAGTGAGGTAAGTCAATCGGAGAAGGACAAACCTGGTCTCACTCATACGGGGAATATAAGAAATGTATATTCTTATATTTTGCACTGAGTGGGGAAAATTAGAGCGGGAGACAAACCATGAGAGGCTCTTGACTCTTCGAAACAAAGGGTCACAGAAGGGGACGTGGCGGATGGTTGAGGTGACTGGGTGGCCGGCGCTGAGGAGGGCATACAATGTGATGAGTACTGGCTGTTATATGTTGGCAAATAGAATTTATTTATTTTACTTATTTGCTTTTTAAAGGTTTTATTTATCTATTCATGAGAGACACAGGCAGAGGGAGAAGCAGGTTCTATGCAGGGAGCCTGACGTGGGACTCGATCACGCCCTGGGCCGAAAGCAGGCGCTCAACCGCTGAGCCCCCAGGGGCCCCAGCAAATAGAATTTAAATCTAAAAAAAAAAAATGCAATGGGCAATCAAAAAAAAGTTTTATGTTTCATGAATTAAAGCCTTTTCTGCTTTAAATTTAGACTTAAATATGTAAATAAGCTAAAAGCTTACTGACTAATTTGGATATTTTTGTGTGGCTGAAGTTTGTCACAAGTTTCAGAGGTTATTAAGAACGATCTCTAAAATGTACATTTTTTTTTTTTTAAAAAAAAGTTTGCTTTATCGCCTTTCAAATACAGAACTGTGGAAGAGGAAGCGTCGTCGTGTTTTGGACGTGTGTCTGAGCTGGGACGTTGGGTTTTCTGTAATTTGGGTAGACGCCCCTACGGCTAAGTCACGGCTCACTCCTTTCCTGAGACGCTTGTCCACTTCCCAAGGCTTATTGAGTCCCTCTTCCTCATCTAAACAACAAAATGAAAATCCTACCCTGTGAAGTTGCTCAGTTCACAATGATAATTCTAAAACACACAAAAACATGCAGAAGTAATTCTAGAGCAATGATGTTCATCTCTACCTCTGCCGCGTTTGGTTGGCCCTTTTGTAAAAAGAAGAAACAAGCATTTGCCGTGTGGAACCGCCGACCCTGGGCAGTTTGCTGTGGACCCCAGTCCCTGATGCTTCTGACGTAGCCCCTCGTCTTTTGTTTGATTCTCTCGATATCCGGTGGCCGTTACACTTCCTTGCTTTTATTATTCACGATAACGGGCCTGTACCCACTTTTCTCCCCAAATCCCACAGGCCTTTTACAGCGAGGAACCCAAAACTCCGTTTTTTGACTTTGTTTTAATGGTTTTCAATGACATGCCCTGCCCAGAGGGCAAGTTTTTATGACCCGACCTAAATGGAGCCAATTTCTGAAGACTATAGGAGAGACGTGCCCAAGAACGTTTCTGGTGGAACCTAAACGTGTGCATGTGTGCCTTTTATTTAATGAGCGGCATTTGCACATTTTAACATACCTACGGACGTAGTGTGATGTTCCCTTTTTTGTTTTTTCAGTGTTGGATTCCTCTTTAAAAAAAAAAATTGTATTTATTTATTCATGAGAGACCCAGAGAGAGAGGCAGAGACACAGGCGGAGGGAGAAGCAGGCTCCATGCAGGGAGCCCGACGTGGGACTCGATCCTGGGACCCCGGGGTCACGCCCTGGGCCGAAGGCAGGTGCCCAGCTGCTGAGCCACCCGGGCGCCCCAGATTCCTCTTTTTTAGAAGCATGACGATTTTGCAGACTCAACATGCTGTCTTCCATTTCCTCACATGACAGTTTTCCTTCCTTACCTGCTCTGTGGATGCTGCTTAATTTTAGGATTCCTGGATTCTCTCACTTGTTTGACTGCCGTCCGGGTCACATGGGTGGGGAGTCCCTTTGCAGCACTGTTTGACTTTTTGAAAATGTAGCTGACTTCTTCTAGGGTTAGCTGCGTCTGTGCATTGATTGGTAATCGAACTTTTCTGTTTTAGCTGCAAGGGCTTGGCACTGGACCTGGAAGAAGGGAACTTCATTAAACTTGCAGATGATGGCACCGTGCTCAGGTAATGACCTTTACCTGTCAAGTCAGAACTTTTCCTCCAGGACACTGTGTAGCGTTTGCTTGTTAAGGTTCAGGTCAAACAAGATCATTTTTTTTTTTTATCACATGACAGACTGTGTGCCTGTGCTTCTTTGTACGAAGTGTTTGAACAGTTTGAATAGCGATCTCAAGGTCTAGTTGTTTCCAGGTTAGCTCGCCCGAAATATTTGCAGGAGGTGCAGTGGAATCCTAATGGCTTGCCCGTCTCGCTGCCCAGAGAACCTGGGGGTATGTTGGGTCAGAGAAGCACATGGTGGCCTGGAATAAAATTGGGTTTCTTTTATGGAGGAAGGAGGAGAGAACGGGTGTTGGGGAGGGTTGGCAGTCGGTGCACACCTGCCCTTTCTCCCTCCTCGTCCTAAGGGGCGGAGAGCGAGAGCGGGGCCGGCGCCGATTATTTGGTTGCTCGTTTGCACGCAGCTTGCCTTGGGCAGCTGGAGCTGGAGGGTCGGGATGCGTGGACGGGTGTCTGTGTGGGCGCGTGCCGCACACAGCGCAGCCGTGACCGTGACCTCGACCGCGACCTTAGGTCCTTCAGGTGCACTTCGCCGTCTTTGGTGGGAGTTGGAGGCCTGAAGCGAGTCTGTCCGTCCTCCCTGTCACCGTCCCTGCCCCGGGGCCGACCCTCTGCCTCCACCCTGTGGCTTGTCCGCAGCTTCGCAAGGCCCGGCTGGCCTCCGGTGCCTGTGTCCTGCCCCGAGCTGGTCCCGTGCGACCGCACGGTCCCCCGTCCCTCTAGCATCACAGCGGCCCCGCAGCGCTGTCTCCTTCGGAAGGAGCCCGCCCAGATTTCCCGTTTGTCCTTTCGGTCCTCGTGTCCCGGTTGTGTCCCTGCCGCAGCCCCGGGCCGGTGTCATGGGCTCATGTGGGTGCCCGTGGACCGCTCTTCCCCGCAGAGCTCAGCGCCGCGTCTTGGGAGGGGGCTGCGCCGCGGGGCGGGTCCAGGGCAGCGGGGACCCCAGGAGGAGCTGGGTCGCGCAGGGCCCGGGCAGGGGAGGCATCAGCTGGGGGCAGGGGCGCTCATGAGCACTGTCCTGTCTCCCGACACCAGGGCGAGCCACGGCACGAGGATGACGGCCCCCGAGGCGCTGGCCCACCAGTACGGCGGGAAGCCGTGGAAGCACTTCCCGGGCGACGTGGGACCGGCCGGCCGCTCAGGTAGGCGCAGCTCTGTGGCCTTCCCTGCCCGGGGCCCCCGCGCCACCCTGCTGCCCCGTCTCCCGCCCCGTCTTTTCTTTCCCTTCTGTTAAGTGACCTCACACGCTGTCCCGCTGTCGCACTGCGTCAGGAAGCTCTGCGGGTCACGGAAACATGCAGACCCCTCTCGGAACTGACCCGTAGGCACTGACGTCCGTGAGCCGACGCGTGCCTAGCACATTGTCCTAAACAAATGGGCCGGATTGTGACCGTCTGGTTTTCATTTGTTCTAAATCTCTGGGCCACTCCCCCACACTACGCTTTTGAAGCTCACCTGCTCTCCAGAAAGCGTAGGGACCCGAGGGGCGCCCGGCTGACCCGGTTGCTGGAGGGTGGCTCTTGATCTCAGGTTGTGAGTTCGAGCCCCATGTTGGGGGTAAAGATGGCTTAAAATAAAATCTTATAGGTCGCCTGGGGCGGGTCATGGTTTAGTGCCTGCTTTCTGCCCAGGGCATGACCCCAGGGTCCCGGGATCGAGTCCCACGTCGGGCTCCCTGCATGGAGCCTGCTTCTCCCTCTGCCTGGGTCTCTCATGGATCGATAAATAAAATCTTCAAAGAAAAAAGAAAAGAAAATGCAGTAACTTGAAAATAGTTGGCGTTACCCCTTGTTACAATTAGGTTTGCTTTGTCACATCCGCTGTCTTTTGAGAGTTTGTTTCGTTTTTGTTCTGAGATGAAACGGCAGGAAGCGAGTGCTCTTGGTGGAACACGTGGAGAGGAAGGCAGCCTCCACGTTGGGCGTCGGCCTTCACACACCGCAAGGTTAGGTGCATGTCTGGAGAGCGCTTTACTCAGCTCGGGACCGGGAGCGCTGTGGTCCTTCCAGAAGCAGGCAGGTGTCGACGACGGTTTCCCAGAAAGGCCAGGGCGCAGCGGAGTGCTTCACCCTGACATCCATTCACAAACGGCCGGCGCCTTGAAGAAGGCAGCAGGAGAAGAGCAGACCCAGGGGCCCCACAGGTTGCTCACCGCCCTGCCCGCCAGGAGGTGCCACCTCCCGGAATGAGCAGCCCCCTCTGGAGCTCAGCCTAACCCAGGAGGACCTTGGAGGCCACCTGCTCCTAACTGGGGTGCTTAGGGGGGCGTCTCCCACTCATGCTCTCAGCGGTCGGGTGGTGCTCAGCAGCTGGCCAAGTGGCGCTCAGCAGTCAGGTGGTGCTCAGCGGTCAGTGGCGCTCGGTGGTCGGCCAGGTGGCGCCCAGCGGTCGGTCAGGTGGCGCCCAGCGGCCGGGTGGCAGTGACACATAACAAAGGCCTGTTGTTCCTGCCAATTGGAAGGGAAAGCTGATACCTTTACAAAGAAATAGTGTTTTTCAAGGTAGAGACATAGAAAAGAAAAAAAAGCCTGCGATTCCACAGCCCGGTTAATCTTTGTTTACATTAAAAAAAAAATCATGTGAGCGAATGGTCAGAAAATTTAAATGTCATAGAAAAGAGGAGTCGGTTACGTGATAGAGGTTGTGTCCCGGGGGTTAAATGTTGGGACGCTGCGCTGCCCAGCCGTCCGTCCGTCCATCCATCCGTTCACACACCTCTGTCGTGCCTGCTGTCTGGCCGTTATGGGCGGGGCTGCGGGAATGCTTCTGTACCCATATGTCTTGCACTTTGGTGCAAATACATACATTTTTTTTTAAGATTTTATCTATTTATTCATGAGACGCACAGAGAAAGAGAGGCAGAGACACAGGCGGAGGGAGAAGCAGGCTCCATCCCGGGTCTTGGGGACCACGCCCTGAGCCGGAGGCAGACGCCCAAGCGCTGAGCCCCCAGGCAGTCCTGGTGCAAATATCTGGAGGGTAAATTCCTAGAGGTGCAGCTGCTGGAAGGACATGTAGGTTTGAGGTTTTGAGCCATGAGGCCAAGTGGGGCCTTCGTCCAGGAGAGCGTGCTGAGGCGCGCTCCCCCCAGGACACCGAGGGCTGGGCCGTGGGCAGACAGAGGCATTTTACTGGCTGGTGATTTGAGAACCCCATTTCGGCGCCGCTTTTCCTTAGCAGCCAGTTCCCAGGGAGCGAGTCCCTCCACCCGGTCCCCCATCCGGCCGAGACAGCTTGGCACAGCGGAAGGCACGGGGCAGGGGAGCCGGTGGGCTGGGCCCAGTTGAGTCTATTCCTTCTGGGTAAAGCATGTGTCCTGGCGTCGCTTTGCTCACCCTTCAGTGAAGCCAGTGTCCCCCAGCTGCAGGGGAGCAAGGACGCTGTGCCTGCCCCAGTGCTCGTCCCCCTCGGCCTCCCCGGTACCACAGTCCGTCACCCGTCAGGATGGGCCATGGTGTGGCCGGGGCTCCTGGGCACGGCCTGCGTGGGCAGCACCAATGCCTGGTGGGACTGGGGCTGATGTGCAGCCTGTTGTATTGAGCCGAGCTCACTGCCTTCCCGCCCAGGGAGCCTCCCGACCAGGAGCGGGGCAGTCGGAGCCCCCAGCCGCAGCCTTGTGCTCTGGGGGCAGTGGAGGCCTTGAGGGCCGCGGGGCCCGGCTCCAGGTCAGGACTGAATGGCCAGTGGGTGACACTGGGTGGTCCGGCCCTCGGTGGCAGGAGGCGTCCCCAGCCCCTGAAGCTCCTGGGTCACGCCCCAGCCAGCACCCGACTGGTGTCTCAGCTCTGCCTGGAGCTCCGTGTTGGTGGCCATGGAGGGAGCAACACAGGAGGGGAGGGGAAGCAGGGGTGTGAGCGGGACGACCACATGCCTCCTGCTCCCGGGCGCCCGAGCAGCTGCCTCTGCGGGTCCCAGCCCAGGAGGTCCGAGGACGTGCAGGCCGGTGCACCTCGGGCCGCAGCCGTGGCCGCCGGGTGCTGAGTGGCCTCACGTCCCCCGGGGACGCCCGGCTCCTCACACCGACAGAGCCCTGCTCACCTTGTGCAGGAAGGGAAAACCGTCTAAGAGGTCCTGCCAGTAATTTCAGCTGCGAAGGAGGATAACCCAGAGCGTGATGCCAACCATAGTATTTTTAGCAGAGGGAAAGGGCACCCAAACCCGCCCAGCCACCCTGTGAGTGCACAGAAGGAGAACTTTGGACTTGGTTTCTTAAACGTTAATGATTTGCTATGAAGACGTGAAGGGCGTTGAGTGATATGTAAAGGGATGGACATCGGGCCCCTGCACAGGGTTTTCCCCTGATTTGCCTGCGACACCTTTGTTCCAGAAACCCATTCTGCTGTTAGATCATCCATTTGTCGTTCATTCGTTCCCAGACGTTCATGGCGTGCCTGCGGGATGCTGGGTATTGTGCTCCGTGGACACTGAGGAGCAAGGCAGCGGTGTCCCCAACCTCCCGTGTGGCCTGCAGGGGCAGGAAGGGAGGACTTGAAATGAGGCGCTTACATGCAGGCAATAATCACGACCGATCGAAGCCCAGACCTCTGGTTCTCTCCGATTCCTCTTTGTACACAGGCACCCCAGGGCCTCTACGACGTTGGGGCCCCCCCGAGGCGGAGTGGTTGGCCCTGACCCTGGTAAACGGGAGCGAGGTAGTGGAAGGAAGGAACGGGCGGGCTGGATTCCACAGGGACCCTGGAAGCCCCGAGAACACGGCCCCATGCGACCCCAGGGACAGGAGACTTCCTTGGCGCCCACCCACCGGCTCCTGGGTGACGCTTGCCACCGGAGACGCGGGGATGACTCAGGGACGACTCGGGGACTCCACGGGCTTCGGGGGAAGCGAATGGCACTCGCGTTTGGGGTGGGACGACGCCGTTGAGCGCAGTGGCTGGGATCACCCGGAGCCAGAGGGATGCGACACGGGTCATCGGGTGTCTGCCCGGGGCGGCGGATCCAGGGGTGGCATCTGCCCCCAGGGAGGGCTCCAGATTAACGCTGTCCCGGGGCCAAACAGCGTAAATAAATCCCTCTGCTCCGCGAGATCCTGGGGTGGCGTCCTGTGCGCCCAAGTCTTTCCAAGATAAGTACACCATGTCCTTACATGACGTGATGCCTGCCTGCCTTTCTTTCTTTTTTTTTTTTAAATTCTTCTCATCCCCCCGGTTCTCCCATTAAACTAAGGTGGCCCAACCGCACAGACGTGGAAAGGCGCCACTGCGCGGGTTACGTCCTGGAGCTGCCCTGCTGGGCTGATAGTTCTGAAATTCAGTGACGCTGATGACCTAAATTGTGGCTTTTTCATCGTGTGCTTTAGATTTGGGGCGTGGTCTCTTTTGACGGAAATTTCTCTCCGTTAGACCCTTATGTAACAGACATCACGTTATAAGTTCCTTGTAGCTTGAGCCTTTAAAGGCAGGAGTAGCCTGTAACAGAGCCATTCGGAGTTAACGTCGAGGCCCCTTTACAACCAAACCAAAATCCAGCGTCTCTTGGGCCAGTTTCTGTGTCACGTACATGAGGTGCTGATTCGTTCCCGGTTCAAAATCTTGCTCTTCCAACGCCTGGGGGCTCAGTGGTTGCACATCCGCCTTCGGCTCAGGGTGTGACCCCAGGGTCCCGAGATCGAGTCCCGCATCAGGCTCCCTGCATGGAGCCTGCTTCTCCCTCTGCCTGGGTCTCTGCCTCTCTCCCTGGGTCTCTCCTGTATAAATAAATAAAATCTTGAAAATAATAATAAAATAAAATTTTGTCCTTTCTTTTAGGAAAATATTATTTTTATGATAACTACTTTGACCTGCCAGGAGCTCTGCTGTGTGCCAGAGTGGTGGACTCTCTGACAAAGGTGAGCAGGGACTCGTTTCTCAGGAATTATGACCGGTGTCCAGTCATATGTCGGAGGACTTAATCATGGATGTCTTTTGAGTTGGAATGGAGCTCAGTCTCCTCTTTGTGATACTAGAAGTGACCGAGGAAGAAACACGTGGAGAATTTGGTCACGTGTTTTGGGAAAATTAAATAGCCGGGACCGTTTCCCCAGGAAGGATGATAAACCTCTTCCCCAGCAGAGGGTGCACGTGTCTAAAAAGAAAATACAGACCTCACAGCTGGAAAGGGTATTTTCTTGGTTTCATTAGCAGATTAAAAAAAAAAAAGAAAGAAAGAAAAATGATCGAGAGACTTCCACCTGTCCTTACGCATTCTACATAAGGCAAAATTCTTAAAAATTAGATGAAGTTTTCAAATGCATCATTTTGACCAGTTTGACGCATGTAGACGTTCCGTCTATAGAATTTGCGTGTCCTTAGGTCTGAGGACCTGGGAACAGACACCAGTTTTATGTCAGAATTATTCTTCTGTTTTGCACATGTTGTCATTTAAAATCCTAACGATCAAAAAAAATAATAATAATAAAATAAATAAAATAAAATAAATCCTAACGATCGTGTCGGTAATAGAACACGCACGATCGATTACTCTTGAACCAGAATCGGTCGTGTGTTCATGGAAGTCTCCACGGAGCTGTAATTTCCGTACGTTTGTAGAAGTCGTTATTAACGTGAGATGGGGACGGTTTTTCATCCATAGCGACTTCAGGCGAGCGTATTAGTCTTTGAATAACTCGGCGCTGGTACAGGTGCACGTACCTGGTAGTCTGTTTAGGTGGGATGCTGGTTAGCGATTACATTTCCAAGGAAGCAAGGCATTGTGGGGTTACGTGTTTCAACGTAATGTTTGTTTGCACCCCGGTTTAAAGAAATCTAAATAGAAACGGTTAATGTTTTGGATCTGGAACCTCCATCATCTCTTCTAGAGAGATTTGCTGCTCTTTTTTATTGAGATCAGGTGAATGTGCGCTGAATTCTAAAGAGCCAGCTTTTGGGGCTTCAGGGCTTGCGGCTTCGTAGCCCCACGGATGCCGTAGTACAGGAGGTGGCACATTCTGAGATCTCAAAAGCTGTGACACTGTAAATTCAGTCCTGTGTTTAATATATATAACTTTTTAAAAATAATAATGATATATATAATTTTGACTTTATAAGCAGAAATTTCTATTTTATTTGGGCTAAATGAGCTGTATTACCATTTAGTTGTGTGTGTGTGTGTATATATACGTATAGCAGTGATTTTCTTAAAGATTTCTCTGTTTAAAGTCGCATTCAAGCACTGAGTTTTTTCACCTGTTATCTTTTCTACAATGTGAGTCCCGATTTTAGGTTACAGTAATATTGCAGTCGCTTGCTGTGTTTTTAGCTGTGCTCAAAAGCAGAAGTATTATATGTGTTGACATTTGGGATTTTCTTTTCTTTTTTTTTTTTTTAGCAGAACAATGGTCAGAAAACATTTGACTTTTGGAAGGACATAGTTGCTGGTATACAACACAATTATAAAATGTCAGCTTTTAAGGGTGAGTCCTATGAGGGGGGCCTTCTCATGTTCGTTAAACGCCGTGCGCCTGTGAGTTACTTGGAAGTTGCCTGTTTTGTCATGTTCCTCGACTGGGACTTGATTTCATCAAAATTTCGCTGCGAGGTTGGTACTGCTTACGTTTTAAGGGGCTCTTTTATTCGCGTCGGCCTCGTGGCCACAATGGCCAGCGCTGTGGGCTTTGCTGTTTTACGTGCCTGCCGCCGGGGGGTGGCGGGTGCCCCGGAGCTGAGGTCCCCGTCTGCCGCGTCCGGCCTGGGAGTGGGGCTTGCGCACACCTGGAAGCGTTGGTGCAGCAGCTGGAGACGGAAGGGGGAGTGAGAGAAGCGGGACGGGGGACTCCGAAGGGACAGGGGTCGGGCCAGGCTGCACGTCGGGTGTCCCAGCTGCGGTGCGGGCTTGCTGGGGCCCCTCGGAGGCTACGTCTGAGGAGTAGGGGGACGGGGCGCCTCCATCGGGGGTACCCCGGGCGCCCGAACCAGGCTGCAGCCGTCCAGCCCGTGGACCGAGGGGTGCTGAGAGCGGCGTTTCTCGGCTCTTGACTGACATAAACCCGCCTGCCTCCCTTTAACATAATTCATCAGAATAATCCTAAATATTATGACTAAAAACACGTCAAGGCAATAAATAGTAACTGCAGAATATTTTTTTCAAGTTACCTATTTCTCTGCTGCCTGCTTCTGTCCTTCCCTGAAGAGATCACTGCTTTGGGGACATGACGGGACTTTTCTGTCCCCGGTCGCCGGCCCTGGACCGGGGCTGGCAGGTACCCTGTGGTCCGGCCGATCGATGCCTGTGTGCTGGGGGTGTGTGGCACTGCCGTCCCCAGTAGACGGCCGTGAACGTGACCGCTCTAAGAGCCACCCCCCCACCCCCCGACCCCCCGCTTCGCTGTCTTACTTCTGTTAGCTTCGTAGAACGAAAAGCCTTAAAAGAACGGTTGAGAATAGCAAATCGCTGTTCTCGAATAAACTCAGCACAAAAATCTGTTGATGTGATTTTATTGCATCGTAAATAAGGTAAAAACAGTTCATGCTTTAGTAAGTGAGGCACAGCTTCAAAGTCTTAAGCAGCAATATAAAAATACAGTACAGGGCATAAATAAGTTACATCTTTTCCTTCCTAGCCAGATTCTGAAACCCTCGGCAGTAGCTATGATTTCACGAGGACGGGAGACTCGAGGTCCGTAGGGCAATGGTCTGTAAACCCACAAGATCCTGTTCCGTAAGACTCGACAGGGAGTCAGATTAATCACACTCATATTAAATAAAGAAGATAGGTCAGACACCGATTTCCAAGTTGTGACGGGCACTTGGAGAGCTTTTCTACAGTCACAGGAAAGCGTGAAAAGGTTCGTGGCTGAAGCACCCTGCCTCCCGGATCAATGGTGACATCACCTTTTGGCTCCTCGTCCGGGCTCTAACAAGTCCTAGGCACCTGTGTCCTCGAACAGATCTTGACGAAGGGCCGGGTAACGCACCATCGGAAGGATCTTGGGGCCTACGGTGTCTTTTACATTTGAATATTCAAGTATTTGAGTTCTACAAAGATAGGATACCCTCTGAATGGTTCCTACAAGGTTTCCTGTTAATCGGCAGAAACAGGCTTTTTTTTTTTAAGTGCTGAATTTCTGATACCGAATTTAATGACGTAACTTAGCGTCACATTTTAGGGTTCCTTGGTGATCATTTTACTTTTTTTTTTTTTTACCCTACTAGGACTTTGAGGGTGAAATGTTTAAATACTGAAGGAGTTCACAGAAAACTTTATAGAGTCTTGGGACCACTGACTAGAAATTCAAGAGGGTCTTCACATATTCTTTGCCGTTGCTGCCCGCTTTTCCAGCAGGAGAATGGGTTGGTCTGAAAGCTCACATCTGTATTTGGAAAGTTAAAACGGGTCACTCTTTTTGGCCTACGTCCATATGCATTTTGTGGGGCGCAGCGGAATTGGGGAATGCCTCGTCAAGCAGATTTACGTGAGCTCGGTTGGGAATACGCTCACATTGGTGCCACCAGGAACCCTGAGAAAGAGGAGTGGACGTACTGGGAGGAGTACAGCCCGCTCGATCCCGTGTTGGGCAGCTGGAGCCACACCTGGTCGTTCTCCGTGAGCTCGAGCACGGCGCTCCCCGAAGCCTGATCCAGGTAGCCCTTGGTGTATTCGTCGTAGGTGTACATCACAGGGGTGCCGTTCTTATAGAGGCCCACCCAAACATGGGTGCTTTTCACATGCATGTGGTAGGAGAAATAGTATGTTCCTGGGATCTGACAGGTGAAGATTCCAGTTCTTGGGTCATAATGCTGTTGCTTGTTATACAAGATCTTATCAAATGGGATGGGAATACCCACGGCCGGGTAAGCTTTGGAGAGGATGACAGTGAACGCAGACATCGGCATTCCTGTTACTCCCTGGTGGGCGCTAACGAAAGGCTGTTGGCCTGCCTTTATGAAGCCCTCAGACGAGGCCGCTTGGCCCGGGGGGCCCGGGGGGCCTGGGGGACCTGGGAGGCCAGGCTCTCCAGCGTGGCCTCTCGGACCCGGAGGCCCTGGTGGCCCAGTGGGACCATTAAGCCCCTTAGTTGCCACGCCAGCTGGGCCAGGAGGACCTGGAATTCCTGGATCCCCCTTAGATCCAGGGAATCCGGGAATGCCTGGCGGCCCAATGGGGCCTCTGGTTCCTGGGATTCCAGGAGCACCTCTTGGACCAGTCTCACCATTGTGTCCAGGCGTTCCCTTAGCGCCTGCCGGGCCCACGGGGCCTGGAAGACCAGGAGACCCTCTGAGTCCAGCATCACCTTTAGGGCCCGGTAACCCTGAGTTTCCCTTAGGACCACTGCTGCCTGGTTCTCCTGGGTACCCCGGTTTTCCATCTAACCCAGAGGAACCCCTTTCTCCCTTAGCCCCAGGGTGTCCTGCAGGCCCCACTGGCCCCATCTCACCTTTAGGGCCTGGAATCCCTTGGTTGCCTGGGATGCCTTTTGGTCCTTGGGGTCCCATATTTCCGGGAGGTCCAGTCAGACCTGGTTCCCCGGGATGACCTGCCGGGCCTTGTTCCCCTTTAGCACCTGGACTTCCTGGAAGGCCAATGGGTCCTCTTTGTCCCTTTAGGCCTGGCAGCCCTGGTTTCCCGAAGCCAGGAGCCCCTGGGGCCCCAGCTATTCCGGGAGCGCCAGGGTGACCTTTTGTCCCAGGAATCCCTGGCTGGCCTGGGGCTCCTGGGGCCCCTGGCTTCCCAGTGCCTTCTGGTCCTCGTTCCCCGGGAGGACCTTGGGGGCCTGGTGGGCCAGCTGCCCCCCTCTCTCCTGGAAAGCCCCGATCACCTTTGATGCCTGGCTGTCCTGGAAAGCCATTTTCACCTCTTTTTCCCACTCCAGGTGGGCCCGGGGGTCCCAGGGGACCCTGAGGGCCAGGAGGGCCTCTCTCACCTGGGCGTCCAGGAGCGCCATATCCTGTTTCCCCTTTCTGTCCATGCACACCAGGGACTCCTGGTGCCCCCTTTTCTCCTGGAAAGCCCCTGGGTCCTGGGGCTCCCGTAGGTCCCTGTTGTCCAGGTTTTCCTGGAATAGTAATTCCAGCTGGGCCGGGGCTTCCAGGTGGCCCTGGTGGGCCCCGTGGTCCCGGTAAACCAGCTGGTCCAATATCTCCTTTTGGTCCAGATGGTCCTTTCGACCCTGGTTTTCCTGGCAGTCCTGGCAAACCTGGCTTCCCAGTGGCCGATGGTCCCGGTGGGCCAGGCAACCCCGGCTCTCCTTGGGGTCCAGGACTTCCGTGGCCTGGTTTCCCTGGTGGTCCTGATGGCCCTGGGTGCCCTCGAGGTCCAGCGGGGCCTTGTGGACCAGGAATACCTTGCTCTCCTCTTACTGATACACCTAAAAGACATCCCCGATAGAGAGAGAGAGAGGGAGAGAGAGATGATTAGTAATGACATCACACCGTCAACCAGTCCATTTTGGCACACTAGTCTGAAATGGTTTCAGATCATACATTTTAGCGTATTTAAAAACACTGCTAGCGGGGATGGTTTCAAAAGACCACGGCTTCCGTGATACTTGCATTACATCCTATTATCCATGACAATAAACCAGGCTTGAAGAATTCATCTAGAATAGTGGCCCAGTGGAGGTATTTACCCCATTCATATTTGGAAAATCATCTACCTTGAGAGGAAAGGGGAAAAAAGGTATATGACAGGAAAGGAACAAAAAGACAAATGCAGAATAAATGGGAAGATATTTAAGAACTATAGTATTTTTCTCTCAAAAGCTGTCCTATAAGACCTCAGTGAGGAATGCAGTTGATTCTAATGCACGTCTGCCCCAGCCCTGCCGAACGCAGTGTAGACTGAGGCTGATTTTTTTCACCCTCAGGACATGCCATGAGCTCCTACGTTCTCCTGTAAGTGACTTAACATTGAAACAGAGAGCGGGTTAGAAGCAATGGGCAAGGTATATAAAATAGTATTGAGACGCTTATCTAAAGCCGTCTTTGGTTAACACACATAGATGCTGTTGATTTCAGAGAGCTGTGGGTTCATGAGTTTTTTTGGGTTTTGGGGGGGGGGATTTGTGGTTTAATATTTTATTGAGGGGTGAGAGGCAGGGAGAGGTGGGGGGCAGCTACAGCGGCCCCAGCCCCACCAGGGGGAACAGACCTCCTCCCCACCCCCTGCGCCCCTGTGGGTTCATTTGAACCAAATACTTCTACTGATGTTATGTATTCAGTTCAGAAATCACTTATTTGCTGCCTGTGATGTAAAAGGGCTCTTGGGCACAAGTGTGGGGGATGCACAAGACCCATCTTAGGGGAGCTTCAGTCTCAAAGGGAGTAAAACAAGGGTCTGTGCGTTAAGAGGTGTCCAGTGTCTTGGTTGTAGTCATTCAAAGGCAGGATTTACCGGAACACTCTGGTATTAGGATGTATAATCGGGGGAATATTACCATGTCAGTCTTCAGGCAGCAATCATCATAAGCATCTCTTA